TGTATATCTACGTATACTCCCTAAGATAGAAGGAGAATGAAGCGTGAACAGTTCACATGCTGGGAATACAATTGTGCAGTTTAAAAACCTATCCCGCCTAGAGACAGGGGTAGTATCCAAGAAGACACTAAGTTGCTAAGCAACTTGTTTGGATGGTTTTGAATGCAAGTTTAGCTCAATCCCCTTGTAGTTTGTAGTGTCAGCTATTTTTGTGGAGGAATGTTGTTTGTTAGGGCTGGGAGGTGGAGGATCAGCGCCTAGTTTCAAGATCTGTTGAGCACAGGCACATCAGTACTCATTCTTCTGTTTTTTCCTTAAAGACAAAGTGAAATCTTTCCGGGCAGCTCTACAAGAAGAGGAACAGGCCAGTAAACAGATCAACCCGAAAAGACCACGTGCCCTTTGAAAAGGGCCTCTGCTGCTAAAGGAATTAATGAACCTGTACTGCTGTAGCACACACTTGTTACAAAACCTAGTGACCGAGAGAACTCAACTACTTGAAAGTATAAAAATGTTACAAAAGTTTGTGGAAGTCTCCTGTTTCTTATTCACCTGAATGACATTTTCAGTTTTATGTAAAATGGTCCTGTTGTCTACAAGATGCTTCTAGACCAGACAGCACAACCTGCAGGGTTCAGATCTGTGAAGCATTTTGTTTAAAATACTTCATTTATTCAAATAGTGAAATGTTTGGAAATACTTGCCATATTTTTAATAAAGTAAAACTGTGGCCATTAAAAAGTCACAGCACTTCCTTCTGATGATGTTCAGTTTTATGACAAAGACCAGCTGTGCAGTTTAAAAATGTGGCGTGCATGCACACCTCACTACTGGTTTTACATAACTTCTTTTCCACAAACAGCTGTGCTTAACTCTTCCCATCTGTGCCTTGATGAAGGCTACTAAACTCTAAATATCCTCCTTCTGAAGCACAGCCTTAAAAAATACATTCCTTATTTGTCAATATAAATTACTTTAGTGTGTGTGTGTTTCAAGAAGACTTATTTTTTGGTGGGTAGTTTCATTTCACAGGATGTGCCATATCATTTTAAGAGGAACCGCAGGCTGTTAAGAGTGGATGAACAGCTGGACATTCCATTTTTCATGTGAAAATCTGGAATCTTGATTTATTTGAATACCATTAAGAACAGTTATATAATTTTAACATCTTATCTGTTACAATTAAAAAACAAAAAAACAAAAAAAACTGAACAAAGCAACAAAAATCCACAAAAATATAAATTAGTTGATGTATATTAAAGGCTAATGTTTTATGTACTGAGGAGAGTTGTATCTTAGGATAATGCAGACAATATGATATGTGGTATGGTGTGATAATGCTATGTATGGATAAGTTAACTATCAAACTTTGGGGATAAATATGTCCATACTGGCCTTTCACATGCTGTTTTAAAAACTTGGATTTTGATGCATGACAAAGTTACATGTACATTAACCGTAGTTTGCAGGTAGCTTGAGTAGTTCTGTTGCTTTAAGAAGTAGCCAATACCTATTTTTCCCTTTGTACAGTGCCAGCAGCTGAAAAGTGGGGTGAAATTGCATCATTTGACGATTTTGCACAATACCTCTACCTAGTGCTAATAGAAATCCCACAAATACCTGAATTCTCACAAATGGCGCCATGTGTATCAGCACTTTTTAGATGGTGGCACTTGATATATTTTTGGAAGTCAGTATGCAAAAAAGATTGACCTTTCATGTAAGAACTGTAGATCTCTCTAGTTCTCCCTCTTTCCAGGAGTTTGTATCAGCAGACTTTCCCTTGGAAATGTTTAAAAACCACTTTTGGAATACAAGCTTGTTTGTTTGTGCCAGGCTTGCAGGGGGGATATAAAGGGAAGGCAATGAAAAGACAGTTAAATGAGCCAGAACTTCTTGTAGTGTTTAATGTTTGTATCTCCCATAGACAGGTAGGCTATGGGAAGCTCTTGTCGCATACTGGTTAAAAATAAAAAATCCTCTTGTGTGTAAACATGAAAACTGAAACAATGTAGATTTTACATAATGTGTTTAATAAATTAAGCTATTAAATGAAGTACATCTGAGAATTTCCGTTATGCTTTGGGAAGGGCTTCAATTTGTAAGTACATCAGTTATATTTTTCAAATGGCTTCTGAGTTTGGAATAAAGCAAACTCTTCTATACAAGTTCATTATATAGAAGGAAGTTCCCCAGACCACTGTTCTGACTTTAGTTTTGCAGCAGATCTTAAAAAAAATCATACCTCTTTCTGAACATTTTTTGAAGATCACTCATCAGAGCTAAAAGAAAAAAACCAATGGAATAGAAGGCAATAGCTTCTGTTAGCAGGTGATAGTACAGATTATCATATATCTGAGGTTTTCTCTGAAGCTGCTCTAGACAATTCTTACTTTCTGAAAAGCTTCTGGAAACTGAGGCATCCCACAGGAGTAACAGTGGCTTCCGTACTATCTGTCCATGCAAGCCTAGCACCACAACCAGGCTGTGCCTTACTGTGGGTCCCAAAAGCACAGAAAGGACAGTCAGCTTTCAGCACCTTTTTACAAAGCCCCGTAAATTAAATGCATCCTGTCAAGTAGCACATGCTAGCTGAAATTGTGTCTACTGCCAGCCTTTGTGCCAGAGCCTGCTATAAGTGAGATCTGCACCTGATACTTTAGCAGTTAGAATAAAGAAAAATTGATAAGGCTGGTTGTGGAACTTGAATTTCTGCAGCCCATTGCCATAACAGACTAAAATTATTTTAACAGCATTCAAACAAGGTGATCTTCTATTCCTCTCCAGTAAAACAAAAGCATCAAGGAAGTGTGACACGTATCTTCAGCACTTGTTCCTTCTGTATTAGTCCAACCATATTCTTTGTGGGTATCTACTTAAATCATCATTTGGTTCTGCATGAAGTGAAGCAGCACTAGAATTAATGAATTATTAAACTGTGAAATAAATGTGCAAGTCAGTTTTTAAGGTCAATGCTTCAGCATGTCTGTAAATTTGAGTGCCTATTTCTACACATGCTTCTGAATCAATTACTTTTTAAAAACTGATGGGATGTCAATGAGGCTGCTAGCTGGACTCAGGACATCTTTTCCAACCTTAATGATTAAATGATGTGTTTTTCTTAAAGGAGGTTTTGCTTATTTGCATGCATTGCTCTAATCTTACTGAAAGCTATGATCTGTGCTAAAACTTTTTCCAGCATTAACAGTGAAATAGTTACCTTAAAAAATAGCTACTTGAATTTAGTTAACAAAAAACCCAACCCTGTTGTCTGTGTTTATGAGCCCTGGCCCACTGGTAGTTTTTTTTTTTCCAGTTCCTACTGTGGAGGAGAGTTTGGTAAAGGCAATTCTTTAAATGACATCAAGCCCACAAGATAAATTCTTTTGTTTTCTGAGAAACAGTCATTGGGATTCTCTAACAGAAGCAGATTACTAACAGGCTTGGAGTGCTGGTAGTTACCAGAGTGACAAGAGTTACAGGCACTTCAAATCAAAAGGAAGTGTTTAAATACACTTCAAAACAAACACACAAATGATTGGTACCAAAAAAAGGAATTACTACGACTTTCTTTTTGTTGTCCAGACCCATTATGGGTTGTATTGTTGAGTATTGTGCATGAATATACTGAGGTGAAGTCCATAATTGGAGACCATAGATTTCAATGATCATCAATCCATGTTTTGGATACAGATAGGATAACACAGTCATGAGGCAGTCCAGCTCCTCACTTCAGCTCTAAAACAATTTGCTGCTTTTAAAATACCAAGCAGCAGTTTCTTGCCTACCATCTGCAATAAAATGACATCTAACATTTTATTTTGAGTCCAAGCATACATGCCATATTCTGTTTGTTGCTTTTATGAGAACCTTGTCCCACTGCACTCACTCTGTCTTGGGCAAAACTTTGGTGAAAAAATACAGCATCTTTCATTCTTCTAGGAGTAGCTATGAAAAATGGATGCCTTCTGAATTGAAGCCATGTAGCAATCTGAAAGATTAAAATATGTATATCACAATTCTAGCAATTTAAACTTCAGCTTGAGGCATTTTTAAGATGTGCAAAGAAAATAGCATGAAAGCAGTCATCACTGATCAACTGCAAAGAAAGAATTTTAACAAAACTGAAACTAGAAGTTATTAGCAAATTTGTAATTTTAGAGATGCAGGTTTATTTTCGATACAGTTACTTATGTTGGATCCTACCAGGTTCACTGTTTTTTTAGAGCATGACCTGTCTTAGTTCTCCAAATGAAAAACAGCTAGGAACTTCTATCTTGAATTGAACAAGATTCATAATGCCACCGAAAGTAAGAGCAGAATATAGCAGTTAATCATTAATATTTAAAATTATGCTACAGACAATGGCCTAATCCTCAAGGCAGAGAAAGGCTGTGTAAGACTAGAGAAATTTTAATAACCAATTTACACTATGGCCATTTTTAAAGGAGATACAGAAGGGTCTAGTACACAAACACCCGAAATAGGGATCCTTAGCTAGTTGGCTCTGAATATTATAAACAGCATTTAAAATATATAAGTAGGCCTTAAGTGTTTGCTCATGTTCAGGACTGGAAGCACGGAGTGTCTGGTACTAAGGGGGAAACCCTACTATTCCTGTGCAATCCAATACTAATCTGTGCTATGCAGCTACAGATGCAGATAGAATTTAAAGAAACTTAAAATGAAGACATAAAGATAAAAAAAAAAAAGAATACCGAATGAAATCATCTATATCCATTGAACGGGCTCGTTTTTCAGAGTAACCTGTATCTTTTAGAACTGTCTGTATTTTCTCTGCAATTTTGAAGTTTTCAGGGATTTCCTGTCAATGAAAAATGGGACAGAAGTTATTTTCTACTCAAAACACAGAAAAAACACAGAAATAATCTAATTATTTCCTGCTCTTAGAACAGTTCTTGTTTCAAGTGAAAAAATTAAGTTATACTTCTTCTATTTTTGTATCTCAGTTCACTCATTATATATGAATCACATCTGTATTGAAAAGCAGACAAGAAATGTTTTATTAAATTAGTAAAAGACCTCAAGACATATATAATATGGACTATATTGTCAAAATAGACTTGATTTTAAGCTTTTTTACTATGATTTAATTACCCTTTTAGATTTTTCTTTAAGAAAAGAGCGAAGTTCCTCCCACCTTCAAACTCTTCTGGAAAACCTTTGATACGTTAAGCTTTTCAGTGTTAATTTTTTACTCATAGAAGTTAGTATGTATGTCACAGTACACAGAAATAGACTAGATTAAGAAGGAACGTACCGTATTATGTAAGGAACAATGAACTTGGTAATTACGATCCAGCAACTGTTCTACAGCACTTGATCTGAAAGAAATACATGTTTAGCATAAAAACTGAACTGTAACTATCGTCCACTTGATTGGTTGTAAACGTCTACTATAAAAAACTGTAACAATTACACAGAACTGTTCTTCTTAAAAAGCTGCCTAGTCTTCTTCTAAAAGAAAAAGCTTTTGACATCAGTATTAATCTTCCACCACGGTTTATCACTGACTATATAACACTGCTATGCATTTGCACAAAAGAAATCATTAACTGGTCCTCTGATAGAAGTTACTTACTTAAATGCTGCAGAGAGTGTCTTGTTTTTCCTAACAAAGGCTATCCTTACCAGACCATCCCACTCCTGAAATTGAAAATTTCAGAATTTTAGAAAGCAACATACAGCTACTACAAACAAGAACAGTCACTACTGACATCTTCATAACAATACTGAACAAAAGGTATATCCTTCATGGAAATGTCCTTCTAAACAACACAAAACCAGTTCTATCTTAGACAAAGAAATACAAAAGGAGGAGAAAATACTTCACCCCCAAAATCCTTTGAATTGTACTTTTTCATGCCTAAAGTGCTATTACCTGCAGGGAAGGCAGGCACTTGAAGAAAATCTGGCTAACCTTGGGCAAGGCTGAAATGGTCTTGAAGTGTTCTAAGAATTAAGAATACTCTTCTGTAACATTTGTCTTCTGTGATTAAACACACTCACCTGAAGATAAATTTCATATATTCCTTTGATCAAAACCTGCAAAATTATCAGCCAGAAACATCTCTGGGAGCCATAAACCATGACCAAAGGGACATTATACTAGCAGTTCTCCAACTGACCTTGGTCTTATAAGAGCTACTGTACTTGACAAAGCTGCCTCCAGCTGGTGGTGGCATGTTGTGTCAATGGTCTAACAAGCCTGATCAAGAGAGAAAAAGCCATTTTGGAAGCTCCAATGAATAAATAGCTGGTAGTTTGTATTAGAATCAGCATATAGAACTGAGTAGTAACTGGGAAGAAATATGAAATTATCACTAACATGTTACATTGAGTATACACTGCTCACCTGGAAGTTGATAGGTGGTGGTGGGTTCTTTGGCTCTATTCTGACAACACTGGATTCGACTTTGGGAGGAGGCTTGAAGTTGTTCTTTCCAACCTGTTAGTGAATAAGCAGCAAACTCCTCACATCCCTTGCAACACTCTTCTTCTGTGTTTGATAGCTGAGTTACCTAAAGGCAGTGACGTACCTTCATCAGATGGTCCACTCGAGCTAACAACTGAGTATTAATAGAGAGTCTGCAGTACAGTTTGCTTCCTGGTTTTGCAACCAAACGAAGTGCAAATTCCCTTTGAAACATAAGGATTGCACACCTGAGAGTAACAGAAATGAGAAAATCAATTCTAGGTGTTCCATTTTTATGTCAGAAGCCAACTGAACACACTTGGAAAACATACAGTTTGCCTCAGCAATTAGAAGAGTAAATGGTCATAATAAGCAACTTTGCCTTGATTAGCATGTTGAAAAAAAAACCCAAAACCCATCACAAAACTTGGTGAAGCCATCCAAGCCTCCTTAAAGCTGTTACATAATTTGATTATTTACTGCTAGATGGATCAGGATCAAAGAGACAGTCTAGTCTCAGAGTTGCCTGACGGTAATAAATCATTTTGAGTAACTCTCTGCTGAGTCCTTCAAATCCAAGCTTTCCAAAACCTGACCGGTAATGTTACCGATGTTCCTCCAAGAGAAATCAAGAGCTGCTGACATACTGATGTCTGACACACAGACAAGATGGTTACATTTTTACATCAGACAACAAGAAAGTGACTTGGCATTGATTCTACCCTTTTCAGCCTTAGCCAGGAAGGTATTTGAAATGCTATGATGCCCTGCTTATCCTTGGAATAATACTTAGTTATACGAAGGAGATGTAACTCCTGTTTTTATCTGCTGGGCACTCACTGTTGCCAACTTTAAATTTTCTCCTCATGCTCAATACATCAACATAAACTTAATTTCCAGGCACTGTCAGACTATGTATTACAGAAAAAAATTAGTACAGCTCTGGTCCATCAAACTGCTACCTTAGGAACTAAAAAAATACTGGATTTGAAAATATTTTTAAAACTATTTTCTTTCCTCCCAGGTAACACAGAGCTCTATTCTTCCACATACCTGAAAAAAGGTCTATGAAGCAATAACTTGAAAACAAAAGGTGAAGAAATCTGAGAAAAAAAATTAATAATGTTAGTATAATTTCTGGGAAATCAGCATTTAAAAGTAATTTTGTTTATGGTGTTGCCTGCTATGTTGCTTGTCCCATACCTGGTAAGGCAAGTTAGCCACACATGCATCAAAGAATGGTAAATCTGTTTTCAAGATATCACCAACCTTGATTTCAAGTTTGTTTGCTAGACACCTGGGGGAAAAGATACATTGTGGTTATACTCAGATAAGCACTGTTGCCAAAATTTGTAGCAAAGCAGCACCACTGCTTTAAGTGCTCCCTGTTTCCCATAATTGATACTTACGTGCCCTGGACTCTCTTCTGAAGCTCACCAACAAGTCTAGGGTCAATTTCACAAGCAATAACCTAAAAAAAAAAGTATATATTTAAAACTCCATGCATCTCCTAACTGGAATTTAATCATAAAAATCCCAACCCTGTATCTGTTGTTATGGGTTCAAAGAATCCTTTCAAAATCCTTATTAGGCTATGTACCTTCCTCCCTCTCAAAATACAAGGAAGCTTTACCACATAAATGGATAATAGCACTGTAGTTTGACAAAACCACACAAAATTTATGTGATCAGCTAAAAACCCATTGGGATTATTCATATGTTAAGAAAAATATCAGTGGAGTAATTCTACTTATGTTCATCATGCCTATGAAGACCCTTCTATTTGCCGTACTCTAAGCCAAAGCACAGTCAGAGCTTGGGAAAGGGGTGTACGAAAGAGAATTTGTACTTACTTTTTTGACCTTCTCCAGCATCTTTACTGTCAGGTTTCCAGTTCCCGGGCCCACTTCCAGAATGACATCTGTGCGACGCAGGGCAGCCTAAGGACAAATAGCATTTTGAGTGCTTCTGCAGAACCAATTTCGTGCAATCATTTGACTTTAGAATTAAAGTAAGCGCTTTTGACACAGTAAAAAGTTGGAACTGGGTATCAAGGAGCGTGAGAGTCGTTTAGAAAGTAACGAGTGGGAAACGGGGAGAACCAGAATGCCGTAGCACTGATTTATGCTGCATCGCTGGCCACGCGTGAGCAGCCACGTTAAGAGAAGAGCCAACACACAGGCACCCCGCACTCAGTAGGCGGCACGGCGGCGCCGGCCGCGGCTCAGCAGCAGGTCCCGGCACGGCCCGGCTGCCCGGGCCCGCCGCCGCTCCCACCTTATCGATGATGCTGTTCACCACGAGAGGGTTCTTCAGGATGTGCTGCCCGGCCCCGGTGTTGAAGAGGATGCCTAGGGAAGAGACGGGCGTGTTACCGTGAGCAGCCGCAGTCCGCCGGCACCCCACAGGCCCCCGCTCGGCTCGGGCGCCCGGGATCCTGCCGGCCCGCTCCGCACTCACCGCCGGCGCGGCCTTCCCGGCGCTCGGGCCGCTTCCCGGCCCGCGCCTTGGGCATGGCAGCAGCTCCGCTCGGTTCGGTCCGGCCCGGCCCGTCTCACCTCGGCCCCTCCCGATCGGGCTCGGCCCCGCTCGGCCGCGCTCGGCTCGCTCCGCCGCCGGCCGCACGTGCCGCGCGGCACTACCGCTGGCGGGCGGCCCCGCGTGCGGCCGGCGGCGGGCAGCGCCCCCTGGCGGGCCGGCGGACCGCGGCGGCGGCAGCACGAACGGCGGGCGTCGCGGCCTCGATCCTCCCGGGAACAGCGGGTCCGTCCCACCCTCGGGGGATGGGAGCAGCCGTGAGTCCTAAGGGACAGTGGTCAGCGGGGACGACGGAAGTCAGCAGGTCCACAAAAGCTTCCCAGGGTTTATTAGTAAATGACACACGGCCTAAAAATGGGTGTGTTTAGTATCCTGACCTAGTCCGTAAGCACAGGGCAGTGCGTTTTGGATTAAAACGGCAGGGTGGAAAGGGAAAGAGAAAATGAGAGATGAATGAAAGAGGGGGAGAGAGAGGAAAGAGAGGAAGAAAAAAAGGGAAGGGAAGGGAAGGGAAGGGAAGGGAAGGGAAGGGAAGGGAAGGGAAGGGAAGGGAAGGGAAGGGAAGGGAAGGGAAGGGAAGGGAAGGGAAGGGAAGGGAAGGGAAGGGAAGGGAAGGGAAGGGAAGGGAAGGGAAGGGTGGATTTTTCAGGGCGACCCTCATCAGTTTCTGCAGATAAGATAACGCAGCGCATTAACCCCGTCTCTGCACAAAGCGCCCATCCGCTCATGGCCGGAGTCACAGTGCCGGTGCAGTCATTCCCAGCCGCTGCCACGCCAATAAAGTATTTTCCTTTTTCTAATCCTGTCTGATTTTTTTTTTTAAATTTACGTTCTCATATATATCTTTAGCGTTATGTTCCGGCGTGAGCACCACGCACGTGAGGCCCTTCCCAGGCCCCGCCCGCAGTTGGCGGCGTCGCGGGGCAGCAACGTCAGGGCCGCGCGCCGGGAGGCCGTGGTGCCGTGGCGGCGCTCGCTGGTCCCGGTTCGTGGGAGGCCGGGAGGGACGGGGTGAGGGGGGAAGGCGCCGGCGGCTTCCAGCGGGACAGCGCTCGGGGCACGGAGCCCCGGGGCTGTGTCGCCGCGGGCGGCGCTGCTCCTACGCACTCGCTCCGGCTGCTGCTCCGCCGGCTGTGCCCCCGTCTGCAGTGCCCGAACCGGCGGGACTCCGGCGTGGATTGCCCGCCACGGTACCGGGATTAAGGCAGCTAGGCCTCTTTGGCCACGGCAAAGGGCCTGCTCGGAGCTGGCAGTAAATATACCTAATTCCAGGGAACAGTTTCCCGCTTTCTTCTTGAAACAGTTTTGAGTCAGGCTGGAATTAATGGAAAGCATGGGAGGATGATGGGGCATTAACCTGAGAGAACTTGTTTTTTTGGGGGAAGGGGCGTGTAGTGGCCTTTATTCCAGGTGGTTGTTTTCTTCCTGCAGGCTGAAGAACAGCAGTTTTTCTGCAGAGCAGAATCTTCCCTTAATCAGAGGCAGTCTCAGTGCAGCAGTGGTGAGTTATTTCTCCAATTTGTTACCGTAGAAGACAGCAGTGTGTGTAAAATAGAAGAACAAGACCCTAAGTGCAATGGTGATGGCTGCTTCCCACTTATGCTCCCATATGCCTTGCTTCCCATGTCTCATACATGAAGTCATGTCTGTGACATATCTGACATGGCTTTTAAATTAGCCCAAAGAGCACATCAGTAAAACGCTGCCAAATTCAAATTATATTCATGGTATACAAGATATACCTGAGTTTTTGTAAAACACATGTTCCTTATGGAGTTTGGTTTCATCAAACTTCATGGTAGCACCAAATTTGTCACTGCTCTCTGTTTTTCTTCTCTCATTCTTTCACTGTACTGTTCTCATCAAGGACATTCATTGTCATGTCCATAAATGATAAAAGGAAGGTTTTTGTCACCCAGGCTTTATGTATAACATTTTGAAACGTTATCATCAGAAGTGGGATTTAACTGTAGTTAAAATGAAACTTGTTCCAGAACATGTGGGCTGACTGAAACAGGCATTTCCATCTCAGCTGTTTGGCACTAGTTTGTTCTTAAGTGGTCTGTCAGGTCTTTTTGAAAATCCATTAAATTAGGTAAATTAGGAAGAAGTCAAAGGAATAAGATTGACCTTGTACTATTGGTCATCCTAGAAACTTACGATTAAACTTTAAAAATATTCTTACATTGTCTCTGTATCAATTTGTCTTTTCCTATGTCATCAGTACTGAAACCTGTGACAGTCATTTTTGAGTTAATTCTCAGAATTGTCTCACTCATTTCTTTACTCCCTGTTTTTTTCTGTTAGGAATTTTTGGTCACTTTGGTGGTTACTGTTTAATATCATAGTTCATTCTTCTCAGAATTTTTTATATAATTTGATTGACCTTCTGTAACATTGTTGTCAGCCTTGCTTGTTGCTATCCTTTGTTACTATGGTCCTCACTGTTCTTAGTTTATGTAGCCTTCGTGTCTTCTGTGTGCTTTTTTCAGACCTAGGTTTTAGTTTCAGTATAAAATTTTTGTAAAAATGAAATTTTGTAAATTCCACTCCGGTATTTCTGTTGTTAGCAGCATGGGAAGAAAGCATCTCTGACTCTTTCCTGCTCAGGCATTTTTGTCTTCTTTACTGTGGCTTAAATTGGGCAAACTTTAGATAGCTTGGTTTAATTACATAAAGAAAAATTAATATGTAGGTTTTGAAAAATTTTAGGAATGTTTAACATTAGTTATTGTGTTGGTTTTCGTGATTGCTGTAGTTACTAATGAATTTAAGTAGTACCTTCAATAACCAGGATAGTTTTAGTTCTTTTGGGTCCACTCCTTAGTAGGATTATGAGCATGTGGCATAATTGATGCAGATCCTGCAACGCTAGAAAAGAGATTAATGGAGGAGTTTGTAGAAGGCTGGAGAGAAACCAGTGTAAAACCAACTTTTCCTGAAGGTGACAGTATCCTTGCTAATGTATCATATCTGTATGACTGAATGCCAGAATTTATGTTACTTATTTCAGGAGTTCCTGTGGCCTTTCAGCATGGAAACTTTGTTTTTCGTCTTTTCCTTGAAACAAATGTGCTGTAAAAGTCACAGTTTCCTTGTTGAACCTTCTGAGCTGCAGGGTGTAGCTTTATAGTTTTTCATTAGTTGTATAATCTGCTGATAAGAAGCAGCAAGTCCTCTTTGTAAGCACTCTTCAGGGAATTAGTTTTAGGCATCTGCAAAGTCTTCGTTAGGTTCCACTGTCTTAACATTAAGTATTACCTCCTCATAGATAATTTGCTTTAGACCACAGACTATCTTAGTAGCTCTGGCCTCTCTCCAGTTTGTTGCCTGTTGAGCTGAGGAGAGAACCAAGCTGGAAGTAGGGTCCTAGAAGCCATCTCAGACACTGGGTAAAGAAGGATAACAACATCCACAGAGCCACTTATGCTCTTGAAGTAGCCCAGAATGTATCTGCACTATGATCCATGAGAGCACACTGTATTTTGTGTAATGTGTTTATGGCTTTTTCTTCTGATTTTATGAAACCTTGACTGAATCTATTCTTGCACCTTCTTACACTTGGAAAGAATTGAATTCTTTACAAAAGAGAACAAAAATACACAGGATTAATTGTCTGGATATGAGTGAGCTGTTACACTGCATTCTTCAGCAAAAGTGAAGTAGGGAGGTGTTTAGTGATGAAATCCTTTGTTTTTTACCTCTTAAGATGTTTAGCAGTCACCAATTTCTTTTTATAGCTGATGTGATTTTAAAATTAGGATGTATTTTACTGTGAAGGGAAAAGTACCTAGATACCTTTTTGTCGGTATAAGAATCATTGCCTGTTAAGGAAAAACATTAAACTGGCATGGCTAGTATAAAACTTGAACATTTAAGACACTTGGAATAGTCTTGAAAGGTAAAATGTGTTTGCAGATACCCTCTTAGAAAAGGAATTAAAGAGTAAAGAATAGAAGAGAAATAAGACTTTGCCTCTTAAAGGAGATGAAGGTGTCTAAAAGTGAGAATGGAAGTATAGGACATTAGAGGATAATGATGAGGAACTGTTATTGGTATTTGTGATCTCTGAAGACACTCATTATAATAAGGGGTGGCATTTGGTGTGTTGTTTTTTTATTCTAGGTGTAACTGTGCTTGGTTTTTTTCCTGCCAGCTGATACTTGAGAATAGGCTATTGTCAAGTTCAATATTGTTATATCCAGTGGGATCTTGGAGAGCATCTTTTTCGTGTGGGGTATGGATAGTCTCTTTTCCCTTTTGCAAGACAAAATTCTGGCATGGCAGTAAGAATCATGCTTGGGTTTGCAGCTGACCACATTTAACACTTTCTAGTGAAAGGAATTTCTTGTCCTTCTTCCAAAATGTTTGTGTGCAATTTGGTTGTTATAGCAATGGGTGTAGACCACAGAAAAGCAGAAGGCCACAAACATACCTGATACTGCTGTTTATTGTGAAGACACAGACTGATACTAGTAAGTAAAAATAGAAATAACGCTCTTACTCAAGTAATCAAACCTGGAAATTCTGGCTGCTGTGACACAAATGCAGACCTTGACTTCCTTCTAAGAATGTGTTGCATATAAGGTTGATAGACTCTGCCAAAATTTTTATAGGTGCCTCATGTCTCTGAGAGTACCCAAAAGACAATAGCTATTTAATACCTTCTGAGTTTCATCTCTAGGACAGTCTTGTAGGTATAGCTCAGTAGTGAGTAAAGCTGTAGAAGTCCCGTAAACTATGGAGAAAGTCCTTGTCCCTGTGATTTAACCAATCTGTGGGGTAACCTATGTCCCTTTTGCCTTTCCCATGCAACAGGTGAAGTCAGATATGTCAGAGGTGAGGATTGTCTCTATCTCATACTATTAGAGCCAATATCCGCAGCCTTTGCAGTTCTGTGAGGTTAAGTCTATCTGTATATCCTCTGTATAAATTAGGGTCTGAAGAGCCCTGGTTCATCAGTTGAAAAAGAAAAAGAATGAGGGCAGTGTGAGGTTATCACAACAAACTAAGATTGGAGAGATCTGGGTTTAAACTCCCAAGGTGCAGCTGTGTCTGTCTGCAGGAATAACTTTCACATGTGCATCTGTACAT